GAATTGAATATATCTGCAGCGTATCTCTCCCTCTCAATCATGTGTGTTGCTTCCTGTCTGCAGAAAACAGACCACTGGTGCTGAGTTTTGGAAGCTGCAGCTGACCCCCGTTTATGTTCAAGCTTGACGAGTTCAAGCAGCTCGTCAGGGACTTTGGGGACGTGGCAGATTTTCTAGTGGTCTACATCTCTGAGGCGCATTCAACAGGTGAGTGAAAACAAGCCAGCAGGGACTCAGGTGGAGATCTTCACATCTATAGGACCTCGCTGCTAAGAAATGCTAGAATTGGCATTTCCTTTCATTTTAGTTTTTGAATTTTGCACGCAAAAAATCAGGTTGTCGTTGAAACAATAAATATATATATATAAATACCATTTGCATTTTACCACCAATAAATACGTTTGTTTTACTGCCTGCTTTTATCATATTTTTATCAACACAGTTAATGTCGCAGTGTTAAAGTAACACTTTAAGAGTACATTTGGTCACACACTGAGAGTGGGACCAAATGTACTCTTAAAGTTTTACTTTAACACTGCAACATTTACTGTGTACTTGCTTTTATTCTGCTTTTTATCTTTCTTCAGTTTTGACATTTAATTTAAAGCATTTTAAATATTCTCTACTGAATTGTGCTTACAAATAACCCTTGCCTTGCCTTGCCAAGCCTTGCTGCAGACTAAATCTAACCAGGAATCAGTGGAAAGACTTGAGAATGAATGTTCAGACACCCTCTATTTAATCTGGCTTAAATGAACATGTTATGGAAACAATAATGGGCAAATAGTTCAGATTGTTGGTTTGATCATCATGGTTCAAACGTGTTTTTACATGCACAGAAGACCTCAGGGGGAAAAAGGTTGCAAGATTTGCGTTTGCATTCAGCAGACCGTATGTGCAAATATTTTTTTTTATATCCTTGCCTCTCATCAATATGCAGATATACAGCCTGTATATTGCACAAATTCATGTGTGGAAGACATGCAAATATTAATATTTACCATGTAAAAAGCAGTTTTCCACCTAAAATGCAGCAGTATTTTCAGCATATTTTTTACAACAAGGATGTTTTAGTAAAAAACCACAGAATGGAGATATTCTGGGCGCATGTAAACATATCAGGACTGGCAGAAATATCAGCAGTAAAATATTGATCAATAAAAAAACTTCCACAGGCTGGATTGCATTAATGCAGCGTGAAGCACAGTTATGTTTTCTCTTCCAGGGCACTACTTTAGTTCATAGTACAATGAGATGGGCTCCAAAGTACATTATACATATTATTTTGTATTCATATAATTATATTTGAACAATTACCAGTTCTTTCTCCTTCTATATGGTTCTGAATTTCACCTTTCTTAATGGCCACTGCTCTCTTTAGTGGGTGGAACCAAATTGTTTGCATTATGAAATCCTGAATTTCTGAGAAACTCAGAAGGATTTCTCGGAACGGAACAACACACTCAGACAAAAACAGGTTCATCCTGAAGACAGAACATGCAAACCTAAGCTGAGCTGTTTGCAGATAGGACAGTGAAGCCTCCTGTATTGAAAAAACAAAACAACTACACAAATACATAACACAGCATGAGTGCCAATAACTCTGGCAAGATTCAGCTGCACAATTGCATCTCTTGCACCTCAATTACAGATTGCTGTGTTGTGAGCCAACAGAATTGACAAAAATTCCTAGATAGGTGTTGAAACGTCTTCAAATAACTGAGCCAAAGTTCACTTGCCTTCCAATTTGAGCCTGTTCTGAATTAGGGCTGCAACTAATAATAATTTTGCAAATTTATTAATCTGTCGATTATTTTTTTCAATTAATTGGATAATCAAAGGTTCCTTAAAGAAGACTTCACAAAATTAAAGCAGGTGAAATTAAAACGTTTCCACTTAAGGGGCTCTGGATGGCATGAAAGACAGACAAAAACATTTTTTTTTATCTTAAATACGGTACAAAATGTTTACATATTTTATTTACAATCTTGGTATAATTACTGCTCTAACTGCTTTGCTCTATCAGCTGAAGGAATGTTTTAGAGTCTCTATACTCAAGTTAACAATTAATCGATTACTGAATTAGTTGACAATTATATCAATAATTGATGAATCATGATTAATCCAATTTTTTCAGCGCTACTTTGAATACAAATAAAGGTACTAGCAGTGACTGACAGCCTCAGCATTGGACTCATAGATCTGGAGCTATTTTGTTGGTTTCTTAGCAGGATCAAATGTGATTATGCTTATGATTGGATTTTATGAACAAATTTTTTTTTTTTTCATCAGAGATGCACCTCATCCCAAGGAACAATTAATTTAAAGTTGGTAAAGATCCAGATCATTTGTGAGTTTTACCTATAGGTGTATGTCACAATTTTGGGCAAGATTTAATGCTTAGTCTAGGTCTGTTTTTCTAGTTTTTGTTACGTATGTCTGTAAAAGTCACCATTTTGATAAAACAAAATGTATCTTTATCATCAACATACTAAAAAGGCTTTGAAATAATAAAACAAAATTTACAGCTGTTTGCTGTCTGGTCGCCAGCTTCCTTAATAAGAAATTGCCTTTGTGTCACAGATGGCTGGTCGTTTCGTAACAACGTTGACATCAGTCAGCACCGGAGCCTCGAGGACAGGCTGTCTGCAGCGCAGATCCTTGTTCAGAATGACCCCCTGTGTCCTGTGGTGGTGGACGACATGAGTGATGTCTCAGCCATCAAGTATGCTGCTCTGCCTGAGAGGCTGTATGTGCTGCAGGCTGGAAAAGTCCTCTATAAGGTGAGAGCTCTGCAACTCCTGCAAAAGGAATATGCAATACAAAGTTGAGAGGCTGCCTCTTGTACATGAACCAAGTTTTTCCAGGAATCTAAAATTCAATATCAACCGTGCCTGTATTTGGAGCTTAGCCCAGATATACAAAAAGACACAAATCTTTTCTGCAGGTTTTGCTCTTGTCATGCCTTTACTCAGAGTAAATTTAAGTAAGGGTGTGGTTCTCCCTGATCGCATAGCATTGCGTGATAAAAAGCAATAAAAAACAAACAGCCTCTGAAGAAGAATTTGTGGCATGTAGTAATTGTCTTGAAATGTAAAGGTTGCTTGCAAAACACATTTCTAAAGAGTTACATTGATCTGCCACTGTTTCAGTTAAAGTTAAAAGATATCAATATAATGCAGCTTTAACTCTTTCTTTTTTTTTCCTGCAGGGGGGAATGGGGCCTTGGGGCTACAATCCTCAGGAAGTGCGTTCAGTCCTGCAGAAAATGAAATAATTCAAACAGCATTACTCCACCAGTCATTTTTTTTTTTTTTTTGGATGGTAGCTTATTGTAATCTGCTCATCTAAGCATGTTTTACCTCTTTATTGGACCTGGATTAAAACAGCCATTTTGTTCCTCAACACTTTGCCCCGTTGTCGCGCCTCAGGCTCTCTTGCTGCTCTTAAATAAACAAGGTCTGAGATGGAGCTCAGCTCTGTGTTTCTTAGTGACGGCTGCAGATGAAACCGCTGGGATCTGTGGTCAGATGAGGTGAAACACAGAGATTGACAGCTTGGAGTTTGTTTAGGGAGATTGTTGGGAGCTGATGCCGTCGACTGATTGTCCAAAGTACTACAGCTGTTAAGTTTTTTTTTTTTTATGGTCCTTTATTTCTTCAGTCTGTTTAAATATACAAGCTTCTTCTGTAAAACTACTGTACAACGTAAAAATAAATCTTTTCCACGCATCCATTTTCTTTTGTTAATCTTCAGTCTGTTTAAATATGCAAGCTTGTTCTGTAAAACTATAATGTAAAAATAAAATAGTCTTTTCCAGCCATCCATTTTCTTTTGTTAATCTGTTGTTTGGGTTATCTACAAGGAAAGACCAAACATCCCTTTTCTAATACTGAAGGGATCATCCACAGTACAGACCAATATAGAGTGCAGCAGGGGTTTTCAAGCATTAAAATAAAAACACGACCCCCTAAAATATACAACTTCATTTTTGTTTTTAGATATAAAGTGAGGATAAAATTATTACACTAATCTATTTTTATAAATTATAAAACAAGACTTTCAATTTCAAAAGGAAGATTTAAGCTATTCAGGTTGAACCAGAGTCCAATTATTTGTGCCGATGGCGTTCTTCCATAACTTAGGGTTTTCTCCCACCTTAGCTATTCATTTCTACAGCTCGTCCAGATTTACCAGAAGCCTCTCATCTGGTTTCAGCTCACCAGGCTGACCTTTGACCCTATGTGGCTTGCCATGTCTTTGGGAATTTGAGTTTAACTCTTTCTGAAATAAGCAATCTAGATAAAATGTTCTGCAACTCTGAATGATTTAGAGATGTTTTACACATCAACCACCAAGCATAAAAAACTTACTGAAAACTACCGGTAATCGAATGTATATGTATATCTTAATCTTACTGAACTGTTTTATTAATCTCCTAGAATATTAACCTTTTCAGAAAGGTTCTTAGTCACTGAGTCATCGCTGCACTAAGATTCCTGTAAGACAAGAGGTCTGCATCCTTATTGCTTTACAGGAAGGTTTTCTGCCTGTTAATATTGACATACAGTTTTCAGCGACATGAGAATCCAGCTGTTCTTTGTTGTCCTGTTTTGTGGCAAGAGTGTTTTTGACCAGCGATCTGATTCTCTGCAGATGCAGGAGTTTGAGGAGTGAAGCTTACGATCTATATTCTCATCCAGGTTAATGTTTAACAGTCTTATCACTGCTTATTCCTGTGTTCAATGACCTTAATGTTACGGAAGAAGTGTTTGCTATTTTTATAGCTAAGTGAATATCTGTTTTGAATGGACTTGTTGACTAATTGTAGAATAACTGAGCGTTATAGAAAATTATGGATTTATAGTCTATTTCTTACTAACATTAAATGGATAGCCTGTAGCTGTGTTGTGCTTAATTGTTATATTTTCTCTATTTTGAGCAAAATAAAAGGCTGCATTATTACACGTGAACTCTCGTAGATAGAGGACAAGTAAAATGCATAGTTAGGATGATATTATGTTTTTGAGTCCATAAGAAAGAACAGCGGCTTCATGTCCTTTCAGTTTTGACAGCATAAACTGAGCCTCTAAGTTTGGTCTAAGTATGTTTGGCTCCGGCCCAGTTAGGCCACATCCTGTGGAGGCAGGGCCACTGTAACTCAGTCTGACTTCCTTTCTGTGGAGATGGGATCCAGAATAGCCTAATGTCAGAACCTCCCAACTGTTGTCCTGTTTGGATACAAATCTGAGAAAATAAAACGTCCCCCCTTTTTCCCTGCAAAAAATACCAATTTTACTTTAGTCCACCAGACGGCAGATTGACATACAGTACATGAAGGTATCGTCGCAGAAAAAGTCTATTTTTTGAGGTTAGACTGAAGTACCAAGAGAAAATGAAACCAAACAGGCTTATGTCTAATTACCTGTGATGTAACACATTATCGGTTCACAAAAAAAAGCTGGGGGAAAATGTCTTTCCTGTCCTTTAGTAGCAGTATAACAATAACAGTAAAAAAACATTTCTTTTAACTTAGTTCTTCTGACATCTTAGCCACATTCCTTCATCACTCAGCTCCTGGTTTTCGTCTCTTTGAAACCTCTCAAAGTTAGACCTGCCTGTAGTGTGAATATTTTTTTTTCAGGTTTGGATGTGTTATTTGAATGTTCCCTGTATTTGTTAAGTGTGTATATATATATATATATATATATATATATATATATACACACACACACATACAATCATATATACAGTGAGCAAAATAAGTATTTGAACACCCTGCTATGTCGCGTGGAGGGGTCTGATATTGTCATTTTAAATGAACAGACATAATCTAAAAAAAAAAATAATAATAAAATTGCAACTATTTGTATGATGCAGCTGCAAATAAGTATTTAAACACCTGAGAAAATCACTGTTAATATATGGTAAAGTAGCCTTTGTTATTAAAGAGGTCAAACGTTTCCTGCAGTTTTTCACCAGGTTTCCACACACTGCAGGAGGGATTTTGGCCCACTCCCACACAGATCTTTTCTAGATCAGTCAGCTTTCTGGGCTGTCACTGAGAAACACGGAGATTGAGCTCCTTCCAAATATGTTCTATTGGGTTTAAGTCTGGAGACTGGCTAGGCCATGCCAGAACCTTGATGTGCTTCTTCTAGAGCCACTCCTTGGACCCATCTTCAATACTCTAATTGAGGGAACGAGGTTTTGCCCAAAATGTTGCAATACATGGCCCCAGTCTTCCTGTCCTTAATACAGCACAGTCACCCTGTGCAATGTGCAGAAATACCCCCGAAGCATGATGCTACGACCCCCATGCTTCACAATAGGGATGGTGTTCTTCGGATGGTACTCATCATTCTTCTTCCTCCGAACATGATTAGTGGAATTATGACCAAACATTCTATTTTGGTCTCATCTGACAACATGACTTTCTCCCATGACTCCTCTGGATCATCCAAATGATCACTGGCAAACTTAAGACGGACCTTCCGTGCCATGCAGGATTTCAAAACATGACATTTTAGTGTATTACCAACCTTGGAAACTGTGGTCCCAGCTCTTTTCAGGTCATTGACCAGCTCCTCCCGTGTAGTATGCTGATTTCTCACCTTTCTTAGGATCATTGAGACCCCACAAGGTGAGACCTTGCATTGAGCCCCAGTCTGAGGGTGACTGACAGTCATGTTTAGCTTCTTCCATTTTCTAATGATTGCTCCAACAGTGAACCTTTTTTCTCTAAGCTGCTTGGAAATTTCCCCATAGCTCTTTCCAGCTTTGTGGAGGTGAACAATTTAGTCTCTAGTGTCTTTGCACAGCTCTTTGGTCTTGGCCATGTTAGTAATTGGATTCTTACTGATTGTATGGGGTGGACAGGTGTCTTTATGCAGCTAACGACTTCAAACAGGTGCATCCAATTTAGGATAATAAATAATAATAAATGGAGTGGAGGTGGACATTTTGAAGGCTGACTAACAGGCCTTTGAGCGTCAGAATTATAGCTGATAGACTGTTGTTTAAATAACCATTTGCAGCTGTATCATATAGTTACAAAAAATCATATAGTGTGATTTTTGGATACAATGAGAATTTTAGACCAGACCCCTTCATGATTTCGTGCAAAATAGCAGGGTGTTCTGTTTTCCCCTCATTGTACATGCATACATATATTTATATATACATAAATAATACATATGTGCATCACTATCAACATCCTTAGAAGTCAGCTTTACAATTTTATATCTTAATACCTTTAACTGCAGGTCAGTCTAATAAGATATCATCATTCACACTAAGCTAACCAGCAAACATGTTGTTTAAAGTATAATCTATTAACATTTCGGCATCAAGTCCACTTATTTCCACAGCTGATACATTGTCATTTCCTTGGCTACTACTTTCTTGCAGTTTTAAAATTCTGTACTGTACAGAAGTGACAAACTGCTCAGCAAACCGGAGTGGCTGTCAGTTGTATGGTGGTTTGAAAAAACGTGTATTTTTAAGAATTAGCTACATAAGGTGCCTGAATGAGCAGCTTTGGATTTGTGAATTGATTTTTACACATTGTCCAAAAGAGGGCAGTGCAGGGGCTGACAAACTACAGTGCAATAAATGGGTCACTTTAAAGCATGTAATCAACACCCAGAGTTAGAGGAACACTTTCCACTGTGGAGATCCGTAAAAGGTAAGAAGTGATTTGGGGGAAGGGGAAGTCCCAGTCTGCAGGTACCTTGTAAATGGTAAGACCTTTTTTTGTTTGTTTGTTTTTTTTTTAGGAATTTTCTATCAATTTCTCAATTCTACTAAAACCATAGGCGGAAAAAAATATGTGGTCATTAAATCCAAGATATTATAATAGTTTAATACAGGAATTTCTGAGGGCACCCCCATTCCTTTGTCAGGGCATGTAATTAAAGGCCTTTCTCACATCCAAGCCTGAGGGATCTCTCATCACAAAGGCTTCCATGTGGCCAAGGATTTCCAAAGGGTGAAAAGTGATCAATCATAAAATATGCACCTACTGGAAAGTATGTTAATAAACTATATAGTAACAGAAATCAGTATTTAGCTACGGTTCCTTTTGTATTTATTTCTTCATGTAGAATCGGGCTCTGCTGATATGTTCAAGAAACCCAGTTTGCTTTATTAGTGGCCTTCACCTTGTCTGCGTTGTTGGTTCTGATAATAGCTTAGGTCGGGTGACACTGCTGGTTAATCCAGCACCGTAATACTGTGATCATTACAGTAGAGATGTTATTTGTAACAACGAGGGGAGGAAAATGTAATAGGTTCTGCTTGCAAAAACTCCAGCTGCAGTCCACGTTCCTTCCTCTCAAACTCTTTCCACTAAACTTCCAATTGACTAGCTGCACGTAAAAAAAAAAAAAGAAAATCCAACTCACATTATTGAACATAATGTTTTGCAGAGTTCCAAATTTTAGGAGAATATCTTTAATTTATCTGCCTATTTACTATTCTCCAATTGGCTTTAACATGCTCACTGGATGATTACATTTAGAGGAGGAAATGCTGGACCTTCTAGAGAGCAGTGGGAATATTGCAGAATGGGGAAGATTGGAAAGAGTCTAGTAGTTTGAAATTAGTATCATATATGACTACTTTTCTGATATACAGGCTTCAATCTTTTTCTGGAGGTTTAGACCGACTGGATGGCAGCCATCCTCTCAGCCTTTCACATTCTGTTAACCATAAGAATTTGGAAACAAATGTCTTAGAACAAAAATTTCCTGAAGCTTTACTTTTTGGGTTTTCTTTGCTGCAAAATGCAAACAT